CAACGATCAATTAAATCTCTACAAGGACCGAACTCTGCAAGAGGGGGCCAGCCCAGAACCCAATAAGGCCCTGGGCAACATTACCAACCTGGCCCACCGTGGTAAGGACTTCGATCCTCACTTCACCATGACGGATGATCCCAGCCCCGAAGAGGCCTCTGCGTCACGACATGTTCCTGAGGGGCGCCAAAAAGCTGTCAAGATGATGGGCGCCAACTGGTCCGCCTACGACGAGTCCCCCAAGCAAAAGGAGAACCAGGCAGGGGCCCCCACAGTCAAGGATGACTCTCGTATTCACATTGCCGGTGACGGTATGGGAGGCCGAAAAGGAACCAACCGAGATTGGCTCTATGGAGAGGAGGGAGAGCAGCCCGCCCCCAAGCCTGCCCCCACGCGGAAGGGAAACCTCACATCTCAGCAGAGGAGTTTCTGGGACTTTTAAAACAAAATAGCAGCATGTGTTGTAAAATTATGGTTGGCGTGTTTGATAGGTCATACGCCGGGGGCGATAACAATCCTTGGGAGGGAGCCGTTGTGCGCGGAGTTGCTATTGATGATTACATGTCTACAAATTTGTCACTCATGATTCATGAGAGATATTGTTCGTCGTCCTTTTCTCATTTCCTTAGCTCATGCCATACGGGCACTATTATCGGAGAGCCCCTTTGTATGTACTCCTTACCTAGTCTAGGTCTGTCTGATAGAGCACTGTAACGCAAGAAAACTCTAAAAGGAAAAAAAAGTTCAAATATTATACTCGACAATCATCATCACAACATCCAATTCCCAGTCACGATGCCGTCTTCCTTCCCAGGAGCACAGCAGTTGTGTACTGATGCACAAACATAATGCAATACGTGACTCAGGTACAGCAGTCTGATGAAAGAGATACAATATCGTCTCATATCACGAAGATCTAGGCGGATAAAAGTACATCTCAGGATACGGGAGCCCGTTGTAAATTCAGGCAAGATGAAAGAAGAAGAAAGCACGCTACCTATTCCAGATTGAAACCAAATCTCAAGAGAAGCCAAGAAGAAGACCATTATTCCCACCCATTTAGCCATACGCCATCCATCATAAGACATCGATATACCATACCCCAGCTGTTTAAAATAAATTATAAATGCGACTTTGGAGAGTGTCATCCCCTCCCTCTCAACACAGGAACTTGTATACCTTCTTCCAGGTCGGCCACGCGGAGCGCTCCTGCTCCTCGTGGGCGTGCAGGATCGGGACGTTGAAGTCCCGGCGGCCGGTGTCGACGTCCATGTCCCGCGTGCGGACATAAGTCGTCCGATAGAAGAGCTTATGGGCCACGTAGAAGATGAGGATGATGGGCCCGCCCATCCACTTGAGGAAGAAGGACCTGGCGATCTCGCCAGAGGTCATCTGTTCCCAGCCGACGGGGAAGGCCCCGACCCAGAACTGGGCGGCGAGCACGGCGACGTTCATGATGAGGCCGACCCACGAGCCGAGGACGCCCACCTGGGAGCGGAAGGGGAGCTCGGCTGGGGTGAGGCCGCGGGCTGCCCAGGCGTGGCGGAAGCGGATGTGGCAGAGGCAGATGGAGCCCCAGGTGAAGATGGAGGAGAGGCCGGAGATTGCGAGCAGCCAGTCGAGAACGTCGTTTTGCGCACTGAGGTCGGCGAGGAACGAGAGGAAGCTGAAGGCACCGGCGACGGCTAATGCCGCGAGCGGCCGTCCCTTTCGGTCGATGTATGCGAGGAACTTGGGCGCCTGGTTAAGGTTGGCGAGAGCGGCAAGGGTACGTGAGGAACCGAATACGGCCGAGTTTCCTACTGACAAGACTGCAATCAGGATGACCGTATTCATCACGGATGGGAGGACTTCGATACCAGCCGCCTCAATTGCGATGACGAATGGGGAGGCTTTGGCATCGGCGTCGCTGGATCCATCGGTAAGCCGAGGGTTGGTGTGTTCAACAAGAAGACCGACAAGAGTAAGTGCCACAACGTAGAAGATGGTGATTCTCCAGAACACCTGTTTAATGGCTGTGGGGAGCGACTTTCGAGGGTTAATAGTCTCAGCAGCCGCAAGCCCGACAAGCTCCGTGCCGGTAAAAGAGAATGCTGCCGTGACAAAGACACTACACAGACCCTTGAAGCCATTATTGAAAGCGCCCGGATTATGCCAATATTCGCCTCCAATGTAGCCGCGGTCCGGGGTTCCACCCAAGTTCAAGACAATGCCCAGGAGTCTAAGGCGGGCCCATCAGTTAGACTTTGCAACATTGCAACAAGGAAAAGAGACGGAGGGACGCCCGAAGGGAGGGAGAGCCGGGTGACGAGCACGGATAATACTGACATGAAGCTTATTACAGCAACCACCTTGACGATGGAGAAGATGAACTCAGCCTCACCATATACTTTGATGCCAAACATATTGATGAGGATGATTATGGTGAGGAACACTGTGACAAAGATTGCCCGAGTGAGCCTCTCGTCCCAGTAGCCGATCGTCATGGCAGCCGCAATGATCTCCAGCGGCAGAATAGTCAGCCACTGCATAGCATAACTTTAAAGAAAGCCGGGTGTTAGCGAGACGGCCCCGTGTGCGAGGTCCAGGTTTCTGACAAAACTTACTTCCACCCCATGGCAAAGCCCCAGGAAGGGTCCAGAAAGCGTGTCGCCCAGGAAGAGAAGGATCCGGCTATAGGGAAAAGCACGGCAAGCTCGCCTAAAGCCTGGCATGTGCAATACAGCATGGCGCCCACGATTGAAAAGGCTAGCAATAGAGATGCGGGCCCGCCAGTAGCCAGGGCCTTACCAGAGGCCACGAATAGCCCGGTACCTATCGAGCCTCCAATGGCAATCATTTGAAGATGGCGCCCTTTCAGCTTCCTTGCCAGGCCTGTCTGTACCGTCTCGAGGGTGGCGAGGCGCAGGTCGTAGTAATGCGCGCCGTCGTGCTCGCGGAAGGAGGCACTCTCGTGCTGGTTGAAGTTCTCATTGCCAAAGAAGTTGGAGGCAGGGTCGCGCTTGAAACCGTCGAGGAAGCGCTCGAAGCGCTTGGGGGGTATGCCGTCACCGAAATCGGGCTCCCTCATGCTGTAGGAACTTCCCTGGGTAAGGGTATCGTCTTTGAGTTTGATACTGTTGAGAGTGCCCAGTTCGACGTCACGGCGCGGAGCCATGGCCACGGAAATTGGGGGCGAGCGTCTTGGCCGACCCCGACTGCTGCTATGTACTTGGTTCGGTAGCGGGACTCGTCGAGAGTGCGGGCGGGCAGGCCAGGGCCAGGCCCATACGACGGATCAGAAAGGAATGACGATATTGCAGGGATCAGTGCGGGAGGATCTCTGCGACTCGATGGCGCCTCTCATCCAGAGGGCTCTGTCGTTCCACTGGAGGGCGCCTAGGGAAGCGGAAGTTGGCGAGGTCGATTAGAGTTGGAGCAATGAAGACGGGGCGTGTGGGTGGACGCATCCACGAGGCACATGTGAGCTGCAAGATTCGAGCCAAGGTTTGGAGACCTGGACCTGGGGGTGGGTGTAACAGTCTGCGCCCTCTCGTCCAACAGACGCACAGGCCAGGAGCAGCAGGACGATAAAGAATCAATGTCCCAATTGAAGAATCAATATACAGGGAGGAAATGCAATGATAAGCAAAGGTCCCTGGGGAGGCAGCCGAGACGAGGAAACATGGTATCTCGGCTAGGCGCAATTGGACGATGAGTGCCAGAGCCTTATCATCACCCCAGTTCTGCTCATTAGTCGCGTGCGTGGGTTGATCTGAGGCCGCCGCTAAAGTGTCTTAGTCAGAGGGCGGCTGATCCACCCGAAACATGTTCTTTACTCGCTCATTGCTCTACATGGCGGGACTTTCCGATACTTTTGTATCGCGCTAGATCTGTCCCTCAAATAGGTACCATCCATCAATATTCAAGTAGCGATACCGCCCCACACTTAGCCTGGGCCAACAGCAACAAATGCTCGACTCTTACCTATTTGGGACCATACTATAGCCTCATGTTTGATGTGACAGCCATCGTCAAGCCACAAGTCGCCTAAAGCACAGAAACAACACAGATCTCAGGCGAAACTTCACGCTTGTATTTAGAAGTGCATGGGTTATTCTCACTGAAATTTTTGGAACATCGAGATTCGGGAAAACCAAGGCCATCGAAACTATCATGTGTTGTGCTACTTACTGCCCACCATCTCGACACAAAGTCGGAGACGCAAAAATCTCTTTATTTGTTGAAGCACACAGAGCACCTAAAAAGTTCAGTAAAATTTCACCCTGTTACTTTCAATTTCCGAGTTATGCATGTTCAAAACAAGCTGGCCAAGTTTCCATGGCCTAAACGTCCAGGGTCCTGAAAGAGATCCTCTACCACAGCAGCACTGGAATCGCACCGAGCACTTCCCGATCTCCTTCCAAATATACTTTCCGTACTTTAACATGCGCTTTCCTATGAACTTACACTTTGCATCCAGTGGCACACATCATTGTTAGTTTGTTTAACTTCATGAGGCAATGACTCCTCTGCGTCTCTCTACACCTTCCGGGCGTCTCTAGCAAAATCAATGATAGTAATGGGAAACTTTGCTTTTCAGATCTTTCTTCGAAGAGAAAACTTTGATTCTCCAGTCGTTCCAATGTGTCTACAAAAGGCGAGCCTCCCTCCTCCTCGTTCGTTTAGGCGGATTCGTCCCTCCACATCAATTCTCGAGCATCATCTTCGGGCTTGACACCTACTCACTTCAAGATATCTTTTCATCAAACATTCGTTTATAAGCCCGAGTGGCTACTTCACTCTCGTTCACTTCAAGACATCACTACATCCATCATTCATCCTGAGCCATAAGGTTCTCTGTTCACACATATACACTTCAAGATATCTCGGCATCCAACATTCAATCTGAACCCCAAGGTTCTCTAACTTGCACATATACACTTCAAGATATCTTTGTATACACCTTTCATCCTTCAACTCAAGGTACTGTCACAACACGAGAAATGGATCAGCCAACCATGGATTCTTCCTCGGAAGGAACAACCACCAATTCCCTTTATGCCAGCCTTTTGAAAGACTCTTGCCTTGAATATTTGCTCCCTCCCCATGAGTTCAATCCTCCTATGGATCCGTCCCTGGGTGCAATCGGCGATGAGAGGCTTAAGTTGGGAAACATCCGAAGACTCTTTGGCTACTGCCCTGAAGAGCGCATGAGCTTTAAAGATCTTGGAAAGAACCTTCCCAAAAGCAACATGAAGGATGTCCTATTCCTGAGCGTGTACATTAGTCCAGCCACCATCCCGCACCAGGGCTACTTTGAGCTCGGGATCTCCGTTTTCGACACCCGCTACCTCCGCAATGGCATGGACGCCCGCAGAGTGGATAGATCATGGGCCATGGCCGCCGTGCAATCCTACCACCTCCGCCTCACACAGAGCGGATGGCGCATGCCACCCGGCGACGGCAGGTTCAATTTCGGCAGCTCAACCATCATCAGTCCCGAACAACTGCGCGCCTGCATCGAGGACATCGTCCGGGACCGAGACTACGCCCTCGTCGTCTCGAACCCGCACTCACACGTCCATAACCTTCAATTCATCGGCATCGTCACGGGCCTCGACCCCCTCTGCTCCATCGACGTCGTCAGCGCCTACAACATAATCATGCAGAGGCGCCACACCAGCCTCCGCGCCCTCATGTTCGAGATGACCTTGTCCCACGCGGACATCCACCACCCGGGCAACGCGGCCCACTACAACCTCCGGGCTCTCATCGGCCTCGCTACCCTCGACGCCGCCAAGAACGGTTGGTCGTGGACGTCCAGCCTGTTGGGGCGCATGACTTTCATCGCTAAATGCCCCGAGGCCATGTTCGCCGACGGCTACGGAAAGGCCTGGGTCGACTGGTTCTTCCGGTCCCACCGCGATGCCGTTGCGCAACGAAAGGTGGAAGCCAAAACCGAGCACCCCAATACGAGCCGGAAGTATAAGAAATGGCTGCTGAAAACGCGTCAGCTGTTTAATGGTCAAGGCAACGGGTTTGCTTCAGGGTGATTGTGATTTCCAGCTCGAGGTTGGTTCGTTGCTTTCGTGCGCTCTCCTTTATGATGGTGTGTAAAGAAAAGGAGAAAGAAGAAGAAGGGGGGGAGGAGAAGGGGAGGTTTGAATATTTTGATTTGGATGGGGAAAAAGGGAAAGGAAAAGTTTGATTATTTTGATTGGGATGAGAGATAGCAAGCGTGATATTTTCATAGCGAAACAATAATAATAAATTGGTCTATTTGTCCATTTAAACATCATCTCCATCCGCATCTACATCTCCATCTGCACCTGCATCTTCAGTAATGAGATTTCCTTGTGCGTCCCGGGGCAGGCGCTTCCACCCAGTAGAGAAAAGCTTGCCCATGTTGAATCGAGGGAAAGGATGAGCCTCAGTGTTCAACACGATCTTGTCCAGGGGGAGAAGGTCGTTGGGCGAGAACAGTAGGTACAAATACTTCAATGTCTCGGCCTAGAGATCAGAGTTAGTCAATGCGGTGCTTGAAAATGAGGGATGTTGTAAATATCATACCAGCCAGAAGCTTTCCATGTTGTCCTTGACTCTTGGTGGAACAGTGTTGGCATTCGACAAGCTGGTGAATCCTCCGTTGTCTTCAACGGCGGTATGTTCCAAGAATGACTCAAACATCTCCCAGCCCCATTCGCGATACTTGACATCACCAGTGATCCTCCACATGTAAAACAGACTCTCTACAGTTTCTGGTCGCTGGAGGTTGTGTACATCTGCTGACTTAACGCTGAAGTCCTTACGCCACTCCGCGTGGGGGTCTGGGTCAAAGTGCTCCGGAGGGTTGTGGGCGGCACCTGCGGGAGCAGGGGGATTGGCAATGTTGAAATACGTGATCTCAGCTGCCAGGCCCGTCGCCATGTACTTGTACATGCCCCAGCATGTCTGCGTTAGCTCTCGCGCAAGTTTCATATCCTCTTCCTTCTCCTTGGACCACGAAGGCAGCTTGCGGGCTTCCGCCTCAGTAAGGCCTTCCGTGACTGCAAGGGCAATAGTTCCCGGCAGGAAACAAACGAGATGGTCCATCTTGGGTGATAGGGGGCCATCGATCCCACCTGGTCGCTCCCCTACAATAGTAAAGCCGGATGGCTCGGTGTAAGTGAGGAGGTGCTTGCGGATCCCGTGCATGGACTCCTTCCATAGTTCCCGGTATACTGGTTCCTCCTTGTTCGTCTGGAGATATTGTTTGATGAGATACTCGTAGTAAGAATCTCCACGACTGCCAAGTCGAATGTTCTCACCCGTAAATTCGCCATTAGTGGCGTATATGAAGATGGGAACGAGCCCATCTTTAACATTGTTCTCGTCAACAATCTCCATGACCTTCTCCACCTTGTCCCAGTAAAACTTTTCACCAGTAAGCTTGGCCAGATACTTGAATTCGAGCTGCACGCTTGTGGCCTCGGCCGTCGAGGCTGCGCCCATGTCGGCGTGTGAAGGGATGCCCTTGAACTTCTCCAAGTTGACACTGGAGTAAGGGATTCCAGAGGGTGATTCAAAGGCACTCATGAGGCGGTCGGCCAGGTCTTTGCCTTTTTCCAGATAAAGATCCTCCCCAAGGCCGCCAGGGCCCTCAGCCGGGAGCGGCGCAAGCTCGGGAAATTCAGTCGACAGGTAATGGGCAGAGAGCAACCCTCCCAGCATTCGGATGGTCGTTTCGAAAGTGCTCACATCCTGATTCTGGTCCCAGGTCAGGCTCGTAGATATCCACTCCCTGGCATGCTGGATGCGAGAAGTCAAGTTCATCAGCATCATGGTGTCCAACGAGTCGATGATAATCCATCCCATGCCCTGCGGGGTCATGTTCTTCCCCGTCTTGGTCACAGGGTGGTACTCGTCATAGCCTAAGATATGCACTGTCAGTCCCTCCCGTTTCGTCTGTGCGATGATAGGATTGCGTGGTTCCTACATACCCCAGGCATAACGCTCGTACGAATCCCAACTCAACTCGAAAGCCTCCACAACCTTCTTGCGCCTCGCATCCCAATCGATGTTGCTTCCTGAGGACCCCTTCCACGGCCACGAATGCTTCTCGGTCGAGGCCTTCTTTTCCGAGGACGAGAAGAAGCCTAGAAGGTACAGCAGAAAGACGAAGCCCAGTGTAATGCCAAGCAGATTCCGCTTCTTCCTCCACCAGGGACGGTTCCTATGCGTCGGTGTGTGGTGAAATGGTTTATCTTTGTACATGGGCAGCGACTCCTTTTCGAACAAGCCGTTGACCCGATCCTTGACCTCGTGCATAACCTTCCTCGTCGGGTTTCCTCGCAGCGAGGACCAAGCCGTATCCTCAAGATCTCGGCTGGTGGCGTCGAAGTTGGGGACATTTCGGGGGACGTCGAAGGCCATTTTCTCGGATTCGCTTGCGCCAACCTTATCCTTGCTGTCGCCAAAGTGCTGTGAGAGTGGTGAGGCCGGTGCCTTGAAGACGGTCTTTCGGCGGATATCGAAAGGGTCGCGGATCATGGGACTGGCTGTATCATATCGTATCGTACAAGGAATAGGAACAATTGATATACAACATTCAACGCTTCGAGGGTACAGAACAGAAAATATAAAGAGAGAAAAAAGCAACGAGCCCTCCCAGGAAACCGACTTCCTCCGTGGTGTCCGCGCAGACGACTGAGAAGCAAAGGCGCAGGTGTGGAAGGGGAATGCGATGCGGCCACCTAGCACTTATCCATGTTGTACATTAACATACGCGACTGGCGCTGGCACTTGCCTGGGGTGGTTACAGTGGTCGGTAGCGCTGCTTGGCAGTGAGAGTACCCACTGTGAGATATTTCGACAACTGCTCGCCCCAGCCAATCAAGCACACATCCTTTTATCCCTATTCTTCAACAATAATAACCTAGGATACATGTATCTAAATACAATGGATGCAGGCTAGAATCTACGACCGTTGTTAGTGGGTTCGGGATACTACCATAAACGTTTCAAATCTATTGATCCATGTGTTACTCAGCCACTATTGGCAACCAAGGCATTCGAGCAATATATAGGGCAATATCGAGCGATATAAGTCTAGACTTATGCATTGCGAAGAAATCTATCCAATAATTGTAGCTGCGACCAGACTGATATATACACTTTCTGGTTACCTTATGTTCCTACTTTTATCCTTCACAATCAGTATCCATCTATATAATCTAACACGCGAGTATCTTCTCCACTGCTGCCTCAGCAACAACCATGACAATGGCCTGGCTGTTGCCAGAAGGGAGGTCAGGGTGGATACTGGCATCCGTAATGAACTAGAATCTCTGTTAGCCTTTCTCTCTTACATCCATGCCTGGAACCAAGCCACTCACCAGGTTGTCCGTCCCGTAGACCTTAGCATTCGTGTCAACAACAGAGGAACCACCCTTGCGGCCGTCGTCAGTTCCCAACTTTGTGGTGCCGACAAAGTGGTTGCCCGAAGTTGCGGCGTTGATGATGGCGGACGTGTTGGTGTAGCCGACAATCTGGAAGCCCTTCGCGGATGTAATATCCTTGACGAGGCTTTCGACAAGGGCGGTAGCTGCTTCGCGATCACCCTCGGTCTGGAGGTAAGGACTTTGCACAACTGTCGTCTTTCCGTCTGCTGCCAAGCCCAAAACACCCTCTGAGGTCAGACCGTGGGTCTGGTAAACCTTCAAAGAAACCAGACCAGTGTCTGAGGGGGCTGCTGAACCTTGGTAGTAACGGGTCACACCATCGCTGCCAACATTGGAAGTAAAGAAGACCATTCTGTGTCTTCCCTGTGTGAGAACGCCGGAGCCAGTGCTTTCATAAAGATCGATATCCTTGGTGTCAGTTCCATCGAGGACACTGTCGCTATCCAGAGGGCCCCAGGTCTCGTTGGTTTGGATGTTCAATGTGAAGATGTTGTGGTCCTTGAAGCTCTTGCCAACTGGGAGCTCAATCCATTCCTTCTCGTCTGGCAGGGTAACGCCAGTCTTCTTAGCGGTCAGGATGTGCTCCTTGGGACCAATACCAGAGTTGAAAAGCACCCGGGGAGTGGACATGGCACCAGCTGCCAGGACCACTCTCCCGTTCCTGTTCAGCTGGACAGTCTCGCGGCTTCCGTCCGAGTTCTCAATCTCAACTCCCGTCACACGCGAGCCCTTGCGCACAAGACGGATGACGTTGGTGCCAAGGCGGAGAGTGAAGTTCTCGCGCTCCTGGGAGAAGGGCAGGAAGGTCCGCACAGGTCCAGCCCGCATGGCATTTTTGATGTTCCAGGTAGGGTGGCTGTAAACCTGATGCTTCTCGTCGGCTTCCTTGGACATGTCGGTCGCCTTCCAACCAAGTCCGTCGAAAAAGGGAGCAAAGGTATCGTACATGCCTTGATCGTAGCGCTGGCCATCCTCAGATGGGGTGTCTGAGCCCGGGTTGCGCTCGTAAAACTTCGCCGCAGCAGGGGCAATATCTTTCCACTTCCAACCCTTGGGCCACTTGTCGTCGAAATCTCTCGCTGGTGGATGGACGAAAACCATATAGTTGACAGTGGCACCACCGCCAAGAACACACATAGCGGAAGCCGCAGTATCCTTGCATGAGTACTCGCTCCAGATATCAAGTCCACCCACCGCAGTTGTAAGTCCAGGGACGTCAATGGGCGTCAGTGTATCATTCCAGACCAGAGTGTGGTTAGATCCGGTTGCTACCGTGGGACCTGGTCCTCGCTCGATCAGTAAGATCTGCTTGTTTGTCTCGGAGAGGCGATCGGCGGTGATGATTCCCGCCGGTCCACCACCAACCACGATATAATCATAGCTTTGTTTGCTCGAAGCAGCCAGAGCGCTGCCCGCAAGGGAGAGGGCCAGAAGGCCAAAGTTGGACACCGAACGCATGGTGATGGGGGCTGTCAAAGAATGTTGGAACAGCATCCTCTAAGACATCCTATGGACCACCGATGGGATCGGAAACTTATATATTTCTACGTGCCTTCCAAACAAGAGTGCCAATCTCCGAATAGTCGAGCTGACTGATTCTAACGTAACAAATT